TTTGATAGTAATTTTTTTTCTGGTTCTGGTTGTTATATCATCTCGGAGGGTTTCCTTTCTAAAATCAACTGTCTAAATGTAAAGAAAACGTTTCCATAAGGATTTTTATACTTTGTCTAAAACACCACTTTTAGATCATTGATTTAGTATAAATGTAATAGAAAATGCTTTACTAATGGGAAACTAGTGTTGGTTTTCTCACAATGGCATCTTGTTTATTTATCTTGCAACATGTCATTTTTGAAAATTTTCTTTTTATCAGGAAATTGAGGAACCTGCATTGATTCCACATATAGCTGAAGCAAGCTCCATGAAGTATCCATACGAGGTCCTCTTCAGGAGCTTGCACAAGCTGCTTATGGATACTGCTACTTCCGAGTAATAGAGTTTGCTCTGCTCCTTGATATTGTTTTCTAGACTCTAGTGAAAGATTGACCATACTGAAACTTGTTTTCACAATTTTCCCCTCGTACCTGCAGGTATCATTTCTGTGATGATTTCTTTGGTGAAGAATCCATATTTTATGACATTTTTGCTGGTAAATCTGACATTTTTTTATGATCCATTAGCTTATGGTTAACTTATTCCTAATTGCATACTTATTGGAAATACAAAGAGCAGAAAGTTCATTTCTGTGGTCTGCAGCAAATTTTTACGGCATTCTACTGGTGACTGTTAGATTCTGATGGTCACTTTTGCTCTTTTGAAGATTCTCATTGTGCTTTGTTTTGAAGAAAAACAAATGGCTCATTTTGATGACTTCCTGAATGCTTTTTGATGCCAGGCCCATTTTCTGTAATTGATGAACACTTCAACTCAATACTTCCAAATTGTTATGATGCTATTGGTGTGATGCTTATGATTCGCATAATACACCAGCACCAGGTAGCATTCCAGTCGTCTAAGATTGTATTTTATGTATTCAATTTACTCATGTTCTAGTCAACAGTTTCATGACCTCCATATTGTGTGACATGCATATCCTGCTCTGCAGTGATTATTTTTAATCATGATTCTATCTAAGTTAGAAGCATATTCAAAAGAATCACTTGGGTACCAAAATTAATGTCAACCATGCCGATATCATGTCAGTGCAATGTTATTTCAACACCACTGGTAACAGAACTGTTTTAGCCATATTTGCCACGCCTTTAGGCTGGCTGTTCGAACAACAAGGGTGAGATCCCATTTAAGAAGCGGACTCGTATGTATTTATTCTTGCAGCAGATCTAAAAGACAGAACTCAATTGTTTTTGGGGAAAACATTTACTATGACTTTCATATCAAGTTGAATACTTGAATCTAATTAGTTTTCTGAGAGCATTAAATTATTTTCCATTTTGTTAGATTGGAAGGCAGCTACCAATTAGATCGTTCTCTCGTCTAATTATGAGGCTGATCAGTTTTTGTTTTGATATGTACAATAGAAATGGACTTCTTGCCCATTGCTTGTATAGTTTGAGATTTGCTATTAGTTTTTATAAGTAGTTTGGATTTTCAGTTTCTCTTCTATTTCTCTTGGTTTCTTTCTGATGTGATTGTTATTAGTTCTTAAGATAGACCCATGATATTGTCCTCTTGTGCATGTACTGTGTGGCACATGTCACTTGGCTGTAGATATTGCACGGCAAGCGTTAGACAGTTATCATTCTAATGATACCGTAAACTTGTGTCATATGGTGCCTTTGCTAGAAGATAATCTATTACTGATATTTTATTTGTAAAATCCTTTGCAGCTTATTATGTCTCGGCGGCGTATTCCATGCTTGGATTCATACTTGGACAAGGTGATTGTCTGTTTGCTTATCTTATTATCTGCATGTATTTTCTTGTATTCGTAGACAATTGATGATATGTAACTGTTGACTGGAATTTTAACTAAGGAAATAAATTCTGATGGAACTTTTGATTTTTATCTAGGGTACTTTTGGTTTATGTTATAGCAAAATGGATCATATTCAAAGCTTGTTGCAGTTTTTCTTGGGCTTTTATACCATAAACACTTGAAAATACAATGCAGTCTGATTTTGAAATATGAACAGGTCAATATCGCTCTATGGCCTCGTTTTAAGATGGTGTTTGACCTGCATTTAAACAGCTTGCGTACTGCAAATGTAAAGACATTGTGGGAAGATGATGTTCATCCTCACTATGTCATGAGGCGTTATGCTGAATTCACAGCTTCACTTATCCACTTGAATGTGGAATATGGAGATGGGCAGGTTAGATATAGAAACTTAGAAAAACTTTTTGCTCATTAAGATTCTTGATCACTTCGTGGACTTAAATATCCTTCCATGATGTGCAGCTTGAATTAAATTTGGAACGACTGAGAATGGCTATTGATGACTTGCTTATCAAGCTTGCTAAATCATTTCCAAGGCCAAAGCTACAAACCGTGTTTCTGATAAACAACTATGATATGACGATTGCTGTATTGAAGGTAAAATCAGTTTCTTGTTTCTTTTGAAAAAATTGAAAAAAAAAAAAACATTAATGATCTTTATCAGCACTAAGGTGAAATTTAAGGGTATGGCTAAATTTCTTGCACATGCTCAATCGTATGTTTTGCTTCTTTTGGCATTTGAATATAGGAGGCTGATCCAGAAGGTGGTAAAATTCAAATGCACTTTGAGGAACTTCTCAAAAGCAACACAGCATTATTTGTTGTAAGTGCCTGGTCCTGCTACCTGTCTTCCAGAAAATGTTTTGGTGAAAACTGAAGAGTGCTTGTTAATCTTGGAATTCTGCAAATGAAGTTCGGATTTCAGCTAAACATTTTATGCTTTCCTAATTAATTTCTGATGTTGTTTTTCAGTCTGCTTTTATATTCTTTATAAGCTTTTAAAAAGAACATAAATGGAATCATATGAACTAAAAGAATTAGGTTGATTAAAAAGTCAAATGTGCTTATTTAGTGATGGTCCTCTTTCCATTGATAGGAAGACTGATGCCATCTCCTTCCAACCATTGGCTTGACTTGTTTAGTAATGAAAATTATTATTTTCAGAGAAGTTGTCATTGATTTTGGCATAACTTGGACTGGGCGGGTTGTTGATTTGCAGCAGTCTTTCCTTGACTATATGCTTTAAGGGGACAAGTTAATTAGTTATGGACTATATATGGTTTAGTAAATTAAGCAGACAATCAAATGATTTTGGTTTTAGGCTAGTGATTTTAACACTTGTCCTGCACCTCTACCTGTGAGTGCACAAAGAATTGTTAAATATTCAATTCGGAGTGCAGCTTGCTAAATAAGGAGTGCCAAAATTGCGATCTATCACCAGCACACTACTCAGTATAAGGAGAACAGGACAAATAATGCAATCTGGGTTGTATAGGGTCTTCTGTCGTTTCTGCCCTTTCAGTATATTTAGCTTTGATTTGCTTCTTTTGTTTTAAGTTTTTACCTCTCTCCTTGCAGGAAGAACTACTACTAGAGCATTTTAGTGATTTAATCAAGTTTGTTAAAACCCGAGCCTGTAAGTATATTGATAAATAATGCTGTGGCATCTTATATTCTTCTAGTTATTTAGATTAATGTAATTATTTGCAATTTACTTATCAGCGGAGGATCCAAGTGCTAGTTCTGAGAAGCCTATAAGTGTTGCGGAGGTTGAGCCGCTTGTGAAGGACTTTGGAAGTAGATGGAAAGCTGCAATCGAACTGATGCACAAAGATGTCATAACTTCTTTCAGCAACTTCTTGTGTGGTATGGAGATCTTGAGGGCGGCATTGACTCAGCTGTTGCTTTATTATACTAGGCTCTCAGATTCCATAAAGAGGATTGTTGGTGGGTCTGCTCTTAACAAGGATCTAGTGTCGATATCTTCAATCATGTATGAAATTAGGAAATACTCAAGGACTTTCTAAGTTGTTCAGGTTCATATGGGTTGCCTGGGTTTGGATTTTGGATATAGTTGATTTGAAGGGGAAATTCAATATGGAAAACATAATGTACTGATCAAATATCTTCTTGTTGTGCCCGGGAAAGGACACCGAAGAAAAAGATTCCTTCAGCTGCCTTCACTCCAAAGAAAAATATAGTTCAAGTAGTATTCTTTGGAAAGTCAATTTTTCTTAGTAGGAAAATGTAGTTCATTCTGCGGCAATGGTGATTCTAATGGTTTGTAGTTCTCCTCGCCTGTTCCCTCAATGCCAAGCTTTGCATTCTTCAGCCCTGGCCCTTGGGTTGAGGAAAGTAGTTGTGCGTTTGAGTTCTCAGAAGTGGGAAGGTTCCATTGGTCAATGTACTTTTTTGGCAATCCTGTTGTGAAATTCTTGATTGCTTTCAATCTTTGTTTTGATACCAAAATCCCATTGTCACACACACACACACACATGTACCCAGATTAATAAACTCTGGTTTAGATTAGTAGATGCGAATTATTTGTATTTTTCAACAAGAGCACAGTGGAGGTGTAATTTTCTGTTTTTGTGTAGTACTTTTCATGTAGAACCGTTCGAACACCCCTCTGGTTACAACTCCCGGGTCAAAACTAATACAAAAAATAATACTAAAGGGTTAAAACAGTTCAATTAAAGGACTTAAGAATTGCCTCCTGCATGAGAGAAGCTTGCCTACTCCAGTTCATGAAACAATCTCATACCTGGTATATCACGTGAGTCCACATGAACCACGTGAGACGCCCGTTTCATGAAACAGGATTTTACAAGTTTTCTCATATTGGACACAGGCACAATTAAGCCTATTTGGTAAATAATGTTTAATCTTTTAAAATTATAAGTAGTTAATTGCATGATACACTTGAGTTTGTTATGTCTGACGGTATTTATGCAACCCAGCATCTCTCATGTCCCATATATTATTTCAGATTCCAGAAGGTTCAAATATGAGATAGAATTATAGGTCCTCAAAAGCTTAGTCATCTTTGCAAGGTGCTTGCCACCTTTGTAAAGTACTGTGTTATTTAACCTTGATATGCTATCAGTCTAGCAACTACCGTGTTATGTTTCTAATCAGACAATAAGAATCGTTCTCAAGTCTTTAACAAATAATCGCACAAATGATGCTCAATTCATATAAGCTTACGGAGTCAGTAGAATAGTTTGTACAATTTACAGGAGGCTAGCAAGGCTCTCTACTTGAAAGAATTAAAGAAGCTGACTGTGTCATTGAGGGCCCGGATAAAGTCGTCAATATCCTCTACGGTGTTGTAGAAGTGAAGACTCGCACGGGCGCTTGCACTGACTCCTAAATGTCGATGAAGGGGTTGGGCACAATGGTGACCAGATCGGATAGCCACTCCGTGCTGGAATTACATAAGTTGGCAATGCATCAGCTATTTTATTAAATATCACTTCTATCACAAAGTTAGGAAATAAAGCCCTGTTTGTTTTCATACCTGTTGGTCAAGATAAGTTGCTAGATCTGTAGGGTGAATATTGTCGATGTTGAAAGAACAAAGAGCAGCACGGGAGACATGATTTGAGGGGACAGGACCATAAATGTGAATATTGGGGACTGAACTAAGGCTATCGTATAGGTATTTAGCAAGAAATATCTGCAAAAATAGAACGATTAGTGTGTATGGACTACATAAACATGTGATCTTGGCTTAAAATAGACATACACATTCTTGGCATAGAAATTTTTTTAGATAAAGTACTTCTCGATCCAGAAAACCGATTCACATTAACCTCCTAAACAAATTCAACCAAAAACTTGAGGCTATTGGGCAATGTAGAAACACATGACCTATACCTTCCCTTACACATTATGCACCAGTGAGGAGAGCAGGGATTCCTTGATATACTCTCATCATTAGTCACCCTTTAAATCTAAAACCATTCCCGCAGACTCCAAACTACAAACTCTCCTATCTGCTCTATGATGAACAAGCAGGGCAGATTCTAAACTTGACAGCAACAACTCTCTCACTTTTTCATTCAAATTTGTTCAAAGCCCGAAATGTCAACTTAAAAGGTAACAAAGAAGAATTTGCACACATTCGTGCAAATCAATAGTTGTGAAATTTGGATAATACAATGAACGAAAATCTATTTCTCTCCTGCCCAACTCTCTTCCCAAAACCTCACTATTTCCATTACCCACCCCAAAACGACAAGGTGCAAACCAAGCAATCCCTTTCAAAATATCTGTCCATGGGCATTGACTCAAACCTCTAGCCACAATCTTGGGATCCCAGCCATTCTCAGATAAGCTTTACTTCTGATTACAGCATACCAAAGGGAATTTGTCTGTCTGGAATCTCCAAAGCCAGTTCCCAAGAAAAGCCTCATTTCCAAACCACTTTCCTTTAAAAATATATATTGACCTCAAATGAAAAACCTTAATTTCAATGGCTGATAATAGCCATTTGGCCAAAATTAAGACCGTTATGCGAAGGTTTAATTGTTTAATTAGCTTAATTTCAGGCCTATTGTATGATTAGCTTAACTCTTGTATGATTAACTCAAGGCTAACCTACAGAGCAGATTTATGCATTGGTGTCCTATACAAATAGCCAAGTCTTCTACTGATCAGTCATGCAATACAAATATCTTTTCCACTCTCTTATAGCTTTTCTCTTCGACTATGTACTTGCTACAATAAACCAAAATAAAAGCCCATCCAACAGAAAGTTCTAAACCAGTTATAAAGGATAGCAAATGCAAAAGGCAGAAGAATTCAACTTACCTCATAATCATGTATCTTTTGCATACCAAGTCCTGACAAGTAATCAATAGCTGCTCCTAACCCAATTGCTTCCCCAATTGCTGGTGTTCCAGCCTCAAACCTAGTACAGTTAATGGAGGACAATTACAAAAAGACATCAGCAGATAAGTAGTGTATAATTAATGTGGAAAAACCAATCAAGCCTGAGAAAATAAGAGCACAAATAAAATGCTCTGGCTAAGTCCAACCACACTCATAAAGGGTGATCTGCTTCAACGAAAAGCTAAAAATTACACAGGATAAGGAAAAGCTGAAATTCCATCAAGGAAATGAAACAGGATAAGGACATATCTACCAAAAGACAAGGCGAATTCACCAACCTAGATGGAGGTTCTGCATAGGTGGAATGATCTAGGAATACATCAGATATCATTTCTCCACCACCTAGAAAAAGAGGTAAAACATTATACAGGCAAGTCATTGCCCTCTTAGATATGGATATACAAAACGAAATGAACTTTCAAAACACAACTTATAAATAAGAAATTACCTAAAAATGGAGGCATGGCAGACAAGAGATCACTCTTTCCATACAAGAATCCAACGCCTGTGGGCCCACACATCTGAGGCATGTTTATTCTTTACTTCATATACTTGCCCATAAGGCTATATTTTAGTACATAAGGCAGTATCCTAACCTTGTGAGAAGAAGCAACAAGAAAGTCAGCATTCAGATTCTGTACATCAACCACCATATGTGGAACACTCTGACAAGCATCTACAAGAACTTTTGCACCAACATCATGAGCACAAAGCACGATATCTTTGATAGGAAGAACAGAACCTGCATGAAAATATTATAAACGCATCAGTATGGTCATGCTATTTATTATGTGTTTCTTTGACACAAAATCTACGGTATTCAATCACTAGCAGCACAAAAGAAATTTACTCAAGTAACAGTTTGATGCATTTGAAAACATTATTAAAAATATATATATATTCATTTGACTGGACCTATGGGACTAGTCTCCACCAGATAAGGGTGGCCTGAGCAAAGTTGATACCAAAGCAGCACAGAGATGAATCATATGCACATGAAAGTTTCATGAGTCATCTAGTATGGCAAACCTAGAATTCACTTGCAGCGCTTACCATCAATGAAATCTAGATAAAGAACGAATATACAAATACGGGGAGGAAAGGACTACAAATCTATACTTTTTCTACAGTACATAGCTTATGTTCCTCAGGGAAAGATTGTGGAACATAAGCTATAGGCTCTAGAAAAAATCCGTTTGAAATATAAACCACAGAATCAAGGACTTTTTGTCATGTTTATTTTACTATAATTCGAAAAATCCATAAATGGACACCTATTGTATTACATAAATAGAGAAGCACAACCCAGACAACATTCAAAAGTCAATCGCAGAATATTCTGCTAACCACATGAGAAACTTTACTTTTCAATGCATATACAGATAAGGTGCCCCATGGAAAAACCAAACCAACATACTTTTATCACATTTACACACATTGGAGCATATCAATATGACGAGAGCTAGGTCACAGCATCAATAAACACCAAGCTTACCTATCTGCATTCAGAATTGTATAACCCAAATCAGACATCTCTATGTTTAACCATATCCTTCTTATTCTTACTAGTGAAGCTGCCGGTATACATAGATAACACTAGAATACCAGAATGGGGCTTTTCTAAATAGAGAATTATTGAAAGTGGCGAGCAGAAAACCCTTTCTTTATCAATTGAAACAGAATAGCTTCAGTAATCAAACAATAGCTTCACCAATTAATAAGATAAGTTAAACGGTAATGCCACTAAATAATACTTGGCATTGCAGGTTTATTTCCAGTTCAGCATGCTCAATAATTGGCAACAAGTTTTTAATCACCAATACAAACTAATTGTGAACATAATGTGTAAAGAGGAAGAAAAACCCACTGATGGAAAAATAAGGGAAGAAATTCAACAATACAAATGGCTTAAGACAAAGAAACTTACCAAGCACATTTGAGACATGATGAACAACTACAAGCTTTGTTTTCCTTGAGAGCATATCTTTCAAATTGTCCACATCTGGAACTTCATCCCCATTTAATTCCACAAATTTCAAAACAGCGCCTGTCTTTTGAGCTACAAGTTGCCAAGGAACGATTGCACTGTGATGTTCAGCAACTGTAAGTAAGATCTGGAAAAAAAAATAAAAATAAAAATTATTGAGTAGGAACAGTAGTTGCATTTAAGATGCAATCACGAGCAATCTACGGAACAGAATGATGTTGTCATAAAATCATGGAAGTATGTGGAGATGTTAAATGCTAAACTCAGATAATGAAATAAGAGAAACCATCACCAAAAGAACATGACCACCATTTAAAGAACACTGCAATTGTTTATTCCTTTATGAACGGTTGTGGCATGAAGTGATTTTGATGAATAAATGAAAGACATAATGGAAAAATATAGTGAAGTTGTATCTACCTCATCATCTGGTTTTATATTTTGGAGTCCCCATGTGTAAGCAACCAGATTGATAGCTTCAGTAGCATTCCTAGTAAAAACAATTTCTCGGGAGTCTGATGCATTGATAAAGTTGGAAACCTTCTTTCTCGCCAGTTCATATTCTTCTGTTGCCCTTGCACTAAGTTGACAACAAGAGGAAATAAAAAGATAAAGGCAGGCTAAAAGCATAACTAACTCTAACTTCAAATTATTTGTCAATGAATCAATTAATAAGTGAATCAGAGTCTGATATTGACTCAAACAGAATTAGTTATGTTTGGAATTTTAATGTTACTCTAGTCTCTAGTGTGTACCTTAAGTAATGAATCCCACGATGCACGTTTGAATTGTAAGACTCATAGTAATTCTGCAAAGCTCTTATCACAGCAGTAGGCTTTTGGGAAGTTGCAGCATTGTCCAAGTAAACAAGCCTAGACCCATTTACTTCCTGCCATGTTCATGGGGCCATGAGTACGTGTAAGTAACAAATAATAAATTAATATCCAAGAATTACAGACACAAATTTTTTTTATTTAATAAATACAGTTATATACGAACAGACCTGATGGAGGATGGGGAAATCGGGTCGGGTCAAGTGACCGAGGGAAAGGGATGCAGGTGGAGCAGACGGGGCGGCCGGGTGGCCTTCTTTAAGAGTTGAAGCGGATATGGAAAAGGGTCGGAAGTTCCGAGTAACGCAGCGGGCAGGGCTTCGTATGATTGGGAATGAATAGGATGGAAGTTTTACGGCTACTCCTTCCATTGTCATCATCATTTACCCTTTTCTTTTGGTCCTTACGCTCCCTTCAGTTCTGCCAAAAACGTAAACTTTAGCTAATGATAAAGTCTGGGTAATCAAAATTGAAAACCAAAGGCCTAAATTAAACGCAGTTGGAGCAATTCTGAGTCCAATACTAAGTCAAATATTTACACAAAAATTACAGCGCTTAATGAAAGAGAGAGAGAGAGAGAGAGAGAGAGGTTATCAAAACCCCCAGAAACCAAAGCCAAAAGAGCAGAAATGCAGAGTGTTGAGACCCTTACACTAAGGAGCTTGAAGGAAGGACCAAGAATTCCAAAGTGAAGCTTTTTCTGAGGTTGCAGCCGAAGCCAAAAACGCAGTTGGGTCTCAAAAACCCCTTAAAACTCAGAATTGAAAATCAAAATCCAATAGAAAAATTTCTAACGGGTTGTCATTTTTTTTTTGGTCAACCTCTAATATCTTTTCTAGCGGGTAAATTGAGAACGCTTGCCTCTTAAAACACCGAAGCCATCTGGACCGTTCGTTACATCGTGCGGTCGTTCACCAAGTAGTCTACATTCTTTCCATCAAAGCAGTGAAAAGGAACGAAAACCTCTAATAGAGCACCCCACGTCCCTCTACAAACCAAACCAAGTACAAAAAACTAGCTCACTATAATCCTTAAAAAGAAAGGGTCTCCTATTGTTGAGGGAGACTCATGTTTACTTATTTTATAATGGTAAAATATAAAACTCAAATTAAAATTGATAAATATGAAAAATATCATTGACATTCACTAAGTGCGTGGAGCAAGTTCAAAACCCTTTTCACGTAAATTAGATTAATTTAGAATAATTTGGACTATTGTTTATATGAAAGAAAAACAAGACATTTTCATAGAAAATGGCTCCCAACAACGTGGGAATAGAAGAAATCAAACATTTTAATTTTCATTAGCTTGGCCAACCATTTCCAAACAGCAATTACTTCAGCGTTAGGGATAAATTGAAAAATAAGTAACTAAGAAATGTGTATGATGTATAATACAATTTGTACGACGATTCGTTGAAATCTCTGTTGCTGATATGATTCGTCACAACACAACACAATATAATGACCTATCAAATGTATGGTCTAAGCATTTTACAAAATATTTCCAGAAAAACAAACTATAAAGTAAAGGTCACGAAACGCCTTTAGCGTGCAGGACGGCAAGCAAGGCAACTGTGACATGTACAATCTTTCATATAACACCTATATGATGAGAAATACGGGCGGAAGCTGTGTCTAGGCAAAACTTGCATGTCCATAGTCATGAAGAAACAGAAGAAGAAACCAGGTGATGCTCAGATAGTTACATGCTCTGCAATATGATTGCACATCAGACAGGAACTCGATAAGACGGATCAACCATTTTCAAGATGAACAAGTTTCCTTTGTCACCCCTCGAGACACTGCCAACATGAATGTTATGAGTTGCCATTCAATAACCGAAACAGTCGTTATTAGATGTAGATAAAATTAACCTTCAAGAAAATGTAGCAATTTAAATAATATCCACCACAGCATCTGATATTCGTATTAGCCTTTGGAAAGGGTAAAAGTAAGAAACGGAGAAAGAAAACCTAGTAACAAATTCAACTCGTGGTGAGTTAAATTTTGAAGAAAAAATCCTGGGGCAGGTCTCAAATTCACTTTTTCCAAAATTCAACTAGCTTTATGCTTTCTATGTTTCAAGGGATATGAAGAATCAACTCCCTCAATAACAAATGTAAATTACAGCTTCCATGATAATACAAATCACAAGTGGGTTTATCCAACCTCCAAAGTTTATCAAACTTTTCTACGATCCAAGGCAGTTAGGGGTCGGACATGTTTCTCCAATATTGCATGCATTCTTATATACTTAACATAAATGCATTATTTCCTTCAGTAGAAAGAACCGTATCAACAAGTTTAGCTCTGTCTGTAGTCCTAAATATTCAGACAAAAAATAAGGTTCTCAGCTCACACACTCACCGAATTTCTTCATCCAAATATGTAATTTCCAGTTCTCCGCGTGCTCTTCCAGGTGCCTTAACTGGTATCTGAAATATAAAACTTATTAAGGGAAAATAATTTGATAATGTATCATTATTTTATTTTTCATTTTTCTATAAGAGACTGCATCATCACTATGCTTCATAAGAAGTTTGGATAATTTAAGCATCCTCCTCGAATAGAATAGCATCAGACTAGATTATAAAATATAAAAAAAAATTGAAAACGTAGACTGTCAGAAATGCTCACAACAATGCATTTTCCCTCTTTTTTAATCTTTCCTGGGGGCTACAAGACAAAGAAAGGTATTGCTATGCTGAAATTTGCTATAACTAGTTGCTGAAAGGTGATCCAAAATTTCTTTAGGTTATTATATTAGAGCAACGGTTTGTGCATCATCTAATCACTAGCTGATCTTTAATATTTCTGTTATGGTAAATCTGAGTCTATTTATTCAATGTCACAATAACAAATTTCTTCAACCTTGGTTGAGATAAGAGATTCAAGCCTTCAGAATAAAGAAAAACCTAAATACTCCATCATGGAGCCTAGATCGTAATGTGTGAGTTTCCCTCTATTGGATATAGAGGGCAATTTTCTCCTACATGGTTGCACCAACCAAGAACACATGCGACACAACTCCAACCCTATATCCGACCACAGTCATAAAATCTCCGAAACTTACTTTATCTACCCTTTACTGTTAGTAGTTTTGTTAATTACAAGGCTAATATTTTTTCAGGTAAAAAAATTTCTTTGATACTTTCATTATTCTACCAATTATGAGAACACTTTCTATATAACACAGAAAAGGTCCAAGGTTCCAACAAAAGGGGAAAACTGCACAATTCAAATCATCCAAAAGAGGTTTAATATAACACAATCAGGAACATCAGAATTTAACCTTCAGCTTAATGATCAAATTTTAACATCAAGAATACTTACCAGACCTGCAATTTTGAAATAATCAAATTTTACAGCCACTTTTCTTGCATTCAAAGGCGTCAAATCAGCTGTTACCTACAGAGCATTGATAATAAAAAGTCAGTAAAATAACAGGTCCCGTTTTAACAACATACTCATTGTTTCTTAACGTGAAAAGAATAAATTATTGATCTGACATCTAAATGGATTTTAGTGATACAAGCACAAGTGCTTCCATCCAATTAGAAAAGAACCTTCAAAGCTGTTAGTACATACTACCATGTTTCCTTTTGAAATTCAAATTTATTGTACATAGAAAATATTTTGAAGGATCAATTAAACTCTACACCCTTGTAGTTTGAGAGTAAAAATCTTTCGGTCCTGAAGTTTCAATTTGATTAATTTATACCGTAACATTTGCACATTATAGCAATGTGGACCTTCAGCATAACTTCCACACAAAGACAGATGGATTGGTGGTAACAACATTGCAACAATTTAACCTTAAGGGTAGAAAAAGGAATGCAAAAAGTGTTCCTGCCTAAAGCACACAGTAGCTGCATTATCAAACACGGAGGAATATTACCCACTTTTGCTGCATCCCCTGTTTCTAGCTAATTTACGTATGTTTTAGGGGAAACGCATTTTTCATTCCTCTCTACCTTTAAATTAGTAGAAATGATAGCCCTGTGGTAACTAAATCGTCTGCGTTAATGTAGAAAGTTAATGCAGGGTTATCATTACTACAATGTATAATGGTAGGGTTGAAACTTGATCAAATTAAAAGATCAAGGAAAAAATATGGCTTTCTAATCGAAGGATCATACTTCTTGTCTCAGCCCTATTAGGGTAAGGCCAATGCACCAGCCAGCTGGTGTGGTGGCAAACACAATCTTCTGTAAGCTAATTTCACTCAACTATAGGGATGCAAAGTGCAATTGACCCTATGTTTAATTAAGATATGTAATAGCTATTGTGGTAGATTAATATGTTCAAAAACCGAAAGCATTAAGCAGAAGTCCACCTTCCCCAATCTTCCACATATTGCAACCCCCACTACATGACTATGGTTCCACGAAAACAAGAAGTAATTATGTTTCTTTTATATGTGATATATTTTGTCATGAATCCCTTTCAAGAATTTTGGCCCTAGTATTGTTTTGGAAAGGCGTAAGGATGGATAGGGGTAGCAGGAGTAGAGAGGTTCATAATTCTAACAATTTTTGTAGTTAAAGCCACAATTTCTTTTTCTTTTGCCAAAAATAAAATAAAATAAATAAAGCAACAAAGCGATATTCAAAACAAGTTAATCTCTCTATCAGAAATTTGGTAAATGATAAATTTACAGACGTAGTTAAACAAACAATGAAGGAATGAACTGAAAATTACCTGATTGAAAGTTGGCCATGATTCCATATTTTGGGCCCTAAGTGTGTCAGCATTGATTGCTTGGTAATTTACCCTTGATCTCAAAAATTTGGGTCTCTGTCATGGTATACATTTGTCAAGTGAGTGCAATTTCTAGGAGCTGTAAAAAAATCTCGAGTATAAATTTTTCACATCTTATAAAATGAAAGAGAAAATAGAGATATATCATGACAAAAGAGCAAGCAAAGTATCTTGCATACATACAAGACATTACTAAGATTTTATAATTAAAAAATTATTATTATAAATATAAAATATAAAATATAAAAAAAGTTAGAAAAACAAGGAAAGAAACATCGCATCATATATTGCAGTGCTAAACAAAATGAACCTAATCCGGTTAGTTTGGACATTTCTTATTAATAAAAGGAAACTCTCAGTCTCAGTCACATTTAGAAGCACATGAGTACTAATCAAAATGAAGGCACTTGTTTAAGGTACAAAACTATATTAATATTTCTCATTGTGATATCAAGGGTTCTAACAAAGCCCATTATGAAATGGATGATATATATATATTTTTTCTAATTTCTTTTTTACATTGTCATATGTTTCTAGTCTTTTGGACAGACTTCTAATCTTGGAAAGACATAAACAATCAAATATCAACGGAAGTGGAAACTTTAATTGGCGAAAGGAATATAAAAAACCACTATACCTGAGTTTGCAGAATAGACTTTGAAGTAGTGTATATAAGCTCCCATTTTCCATTCAGTAAATCAGATTTCAGTGGCTCCTTTGTTGGATTAACTGCTTCAAGTTTGCGTGCAATCTATTTAGAAATGAATTGCAAGAAACAAAATGGAAAGATGCACATAGACATCAGAAACTAATGTCACACAACCCTCTACTGAGACAAAAATGACATATTAGAAATAACCACAGCCAAAAAGCACGTGCTAATACAGGATCAACCTAAAGCGTCATGGACTTACAAACTTTCAAGGTTATGAAGTTGCAAATATAAACCAATCCCAATCATCTTCTTTTTTTCCTGTGCTCAACTGTTTTCTGGATTGGTTTGATGTATTTGTTCATCTGCAATGACAATTTTCCTAAAA